ATTAGCACAGAGATGCAGTTATCGATTCAAATCCCTTAGTGGTAGAGTTATTGAAAGTGTAAGTAGTAATAGGGAACATTAGGGTTTGATATCATTAAGAAGTATAATCCAGTGGAATAAATTTGGTAAGAAAATAAAGAACATGAAGTATTCAGAAAATTATAATTTTCGAGGACACAAATAATGGATGCACCTGCGCCGTTGAAAACGATTTTTGGGAAACATAATATTTATAGCCGAGTTTACCATAGATGTATTGATTTATATCCCTTGGATAACACAAACAACTGGCTTATCCTACAATTGTCAAATGCTAGTTAATACTCTAAAGATGGTTTGCGTGGTCTTCTAGCTTAACCCTAAAAAGACAGATTTTTGATTTTTTTTTTTTTTTGAACAATTTGACTATGTAGTGCTATGTCAACTCTTATGGCCGAACCCGAAGTATTCAACCTTTAGGGTTTAACGTCTAAGATCTTTCAACTTCGTTTATTTGTATATGTTCCCTTGATCACTTAGTGTGATCCGTTAGTAACTACCTCAGCTCCAGTTCCACTAGGTTAACATGTTACTGTTTCGAACTAGAACTTCCGAAATCTGTCCACTCCTCTCTAGCTTTCATTTCTATGTTTTTAACCTCAGCAAACCTCCAGAAACTTAGTTAAATCTTGAATCCGTTCGATCGTGTAACGTTTAAGTATGCATATGATAAGGGATGTTGTAATGGTGTGATATAAATGTGATAAGTTGCAAAAGGTATTAGTGGTACTATGCAATGTCTTCCTTTTCCAGTATATTCACTCTTATTTTCTCTAGTATTTTGTTACTGTTTTATATTAACTTAGATAAGAAAGGTTCGCAGATGCTTGAAGTAATGTCATAAAAATAACAGAAATTTTTATATGGATCATATTCTAAAGAAAATATTTAGTTCACTACAATTTATAATATATCTCTTTACACAGTATGTTTGGATATTTGTTCATAAACGATAATTCATCTGTTAATTAGATTTCAGTTTCAGTTATGCTTAAATATCTGCAACTTTTATTCTGTAGGCTACAAAAAAGCAGTTTAACAATAGTGTCATCTTTTTTATATTCATTCATTCTGAATTAATTATATCTGTATCTAGGCTGATACTTACTTACTTACTTACGCCTGTTACTCCTCGTGAAGGAGCATAGGCCGCTCACCAGCATTCTCCATCCAACCCTGTCCTGGGCAATCCTTTCAAGCCCTTTCCAGTTCTTATTCATCTTTTTCATATCTGCTTCTATTTCCCGACGTAATGTGTTCTTTGGCCTTCCTCTTTTCCGCTTCCCTTCAGGATTCCAAGTTAGCGCTTGTCTCGTAATGCAGTTTGATGATTTCCTCAATGTATGACCTATCCATTTCCATCGTCTTTTCCTGATTTCCTCTTCAGCTGGAAGTTGGTTTGTTGTCTCCCACAGAAGGCTGTTGCTGATAGTATCCGGCCAATGGATGTTGAGTATCATGCGTAGACAGCTATTTATAAATACTTGTACCTTCTTGATGGTGGTTGTTGTAGTTCTCCAAGTTTTAGCTCCGTACAATAGAACTGCCTTGACGTTCGTATTGAAGATTCTGACTTTGATATTGGTTGAAAGTTGTTTTGAGTTCCATATGTTCTTCAGTTGAAGGAATGCCGCTCTAGCTTTGCCAATCCTCGCCTTGACGTCTGCATCTGAACCTCCTTGTTTATCGACGATGCTTCCCAGGTATGTGAAGGATTCTACATCTTCCAGAGTTTCGCCATCAAGAGTGATTGGATTGCTGTTCTCCGTGTTGTGTTTGAGGACCTTGGTTTTCCCTTTGTGTATGTTGAGGCCTACTGATGCAGAGACTGCTGCTACTCTGGCTGTCTTTATCTGCATTTGTTCGTGTGTATGTGATAGGAGGGCTAGGTCATCTGCGAAGTCCAAGTCGTCTAATTGGTTCTGAGCTGTCCATCGTATGCCGTAGTTTCTCTCAGATGTCGAGGTCTTCATAATCCAGTCGACCACCAGAAGAAACAGGATGGGAGAGAGTAGACAGCCTTGTCTTACTCCGGTCCTTACTTGGAATGCGTCAGTCAGCTGTCCTCCATGCACTACTTTGCACTGTAGTCCGTCGTATGAGTTCCGGATAATGTTGACAATCTTCTCAGGAACTCCGTAGTGTCGAAGAAGTTTCCATAACGTCCTCCTATCTACACTGTCAAATGCCTTCTCATAATCAATGAAGTTGATGTAGAGTGACGAGTTCCACTCAGTTGATTGTTCGACGATGATCCGTAGTGTCGCAATCTGGTCTGTGCACGACCGGTCCTTACGGAATCCAGCTTGTTGATCTCGAAGTTGAGCGTCAACTGCGTCTTTCATCCTGTTCAGTAACACTCTGTTGAAGACTTTACCCGGTATTGACAGTAGTGTAATACCTATGTAGTTTTCACACTTACTCAGATCTCCTTTCTTTGGAATCTTGATGAGGTGTCCATTTTTCCAATCCATCGGCACTTGTTCCTCCTCCCAAATCTTCTTGAATAGAAGGTGAAGCATGTTTGTAGTAACTTCGGTGTCTGACTTTAGTGCTTCAGCTGGTATATTGTCGGATCCTGCTGCTTTCCCGCTCTTGATTTGTCTGACGGCCATTCTGATTTCTTCGGTCGTTGGTGGATTGACATCTATAGGAAGATCTGTGTGTGCTGCTTCGATGTCCAGTGGATTCATTGAAGCCGGCCTATTCAGGAGTTCCTCGAAGTACTCTACCCATCTGTTCCGCTATTGTTGAATTTCAGTGACTGGCCTACCTTCTTTGTTTTTGACTGGTCTCTCTGGTTTACTATATTTCCCTGTTAGTTTCTTCGTTGTATCGTAAAGCTGTTTCATATTTCCTTCTCTTGCAGCTTTCTCTGCCGTCGTTGCTAGTTCTTCCACGTATTTTTGCTTGTCGGCTCTAATGCTCTTCTTCACTTGCTTGTTTGCTTCTATGTACTCAGCTTGTGCTTGGACTTTCTCTGCTCTTGTTCGACTGTTGTTAATTGCTGTCTTCTTGTTCTTCCTTTCTTTGATATTGCCAGTGTTTCTATAGAAATCCATTCCTTGTGATGATGTTTCTTGGGGCCCAGAACCTCTTGACACGTTGAAGTTAATACTTCTTTTATACCTTTCCAGTTGTTCTCCGTAGTAGTTTCTTTTTCCTTCAGTAGATCCTGTAAGGCTTGGAACCTGTTGTTGAGAGCTATCTTGAATTCATTGAGTTTGTTAGTATCTCGAAGGAAGGCTGTATTGAACCTTTGTGGTGCTGTTTGTCCAGTTGTCCAGTTCTTCTTTAGCTTCAGTTTCAGTTTGGCCACAACCAGGTGATGATCTGAAGCTATGTCCGCTCCTCTCCTGGTTTTCACATCTTCCATTGTCCTTCGGAACTTTTTATTGATGCAAGTGTGATCTATCTGATTCTCTGTGGTGTGGTCCGGTGAGATCCATGTAGCTTTGTGTATACGTTTGTGTGGAAATGTTGTACTCTAGGCTGATACACAATGCTTATTACCTAATATCACTTGCATTTTTCAGTGCTTCTCCATTAAATACATCTTAAACTTTTAATAAGATAAATATAAGATTTTGTGTATAACGTTCAGATGGTGAAAGTTTAATCAACTGTCAGTCATGTCTCTGACGATAATCTTTGCATTAAGCACGAACACCATCATTGAGATTTTGTCGACTCACTTAATATACCATTAACATTATTAGGATACCAGAATATATATTTGCAGCTAGACCTGTCTTCTAGTTTATTGGGTACATTCATCTGTGATATGACGTGATGGAAAAGCAACATTAGATTCTTTTACTCATTGTGATTTTTGTTCAGTAGTACTTCCGTTTTAAATTCAATATGATAATTAGTCAGTGTAGTATTCATTTTGTTTTCCAATGTATTTTATTCCATATAACATACGATATCCTTGTATTAAATTAACATGAACTATGCTCAGCATGACATGTAGCATGGGATTTGTTATTTATTAATTTATATATTTATTTTAACACATAGATTTTGGTACAAGGAGACACCAAATACATACGCGCCACACAGATCTCATTGGATATGTGTGAGGGCTGTGATACTGCCCGGGTGCCCAAACCGAAGCAGGTGGTTTTCTTAGAGGGCCACACCCCGAGCCTTCGACCTGAAGATCTGAGCCACAAGGCAGTGGAGCATCGTAAGGAGATGCAGTCCCATAGCAGCCGGTGACCAATGATTGGTTCATACGCCATTTGTTCCTTCAGGATACTTGAGCCCATGTGCACCATTGGTTTGGGATCCGGTTAAAGCACCGGACATTCGCTTTTCGTCCTCTCAATTTCGTAAACAACAGTAATGCCATGAGGAGGCAGTGAGTAGGACTTCCCTGGCGGAGGCTATATACGCGTGGCCGTGTGAGAGGATTTCGAGAGGGAGAGCGAACTCTCCCCACTCTCGGCCATACCAGGGCATTTGGGGTATTTGTTATAACTCTTAGTATTTTTATATATGCATTTTCATCCTAATTAATTATCAGATAGATTTACAATCAATATATAAACGAGTGTATTTTCGATTAGGGTCGTCATCGTGTTTTGTGTTTAACAAATCTTCAATTGTACCAGTCTTGGTGTTCTTACTTCGCGTCGTGGAAATTGCAGTGGTTCCTCGTTTTTACCAGTATAAGTAATAAGTGATTCTGACGTAGCACAATCAGCGACGACCAGTCATAACAAATTGACGACGAGACATAACAATCTGTGCACATACAGTGTCCTAAATCTAATAAAGCAACAGAGTATTAACTCCAAAAAGCTGAGATGAATTTGTTACTTAATATAAGCAGATTCGTAAATCTCTTTTTGTGTGTCGTATACATTAGTTGTTGATCATTAATTTCTATATATGCAATAAATCCACTCAAACGTTGTTTTTCAATTAGTTTGATTTCATTGTTTTTATTTTAGACTCCTTAGTGAAACCCTGTCCTAATTGTAAAACTCTCATACAAAAACTTAATGATGGAAGTTGTAATTCTATGGTATGCTCAATTTGTAATTATGAGTTTTGTTGGTTATGTTTACGGGAAACTACAGCAACGCATTATTTGAAGTACGTAAGCAATAATCCTTGGTCTTTTCATGCATATACATTATTATAACGCCCGGTTTTCCTTGTCTACACGAATGGGACGTTAATTTGCCTTAGACGAATATCTACACTAGATTCCCCCCCAGTGTCTATTCTACAGGACTTCAACACAACTCACATCAAGGACACGTGATTAGCCTGACTAGAACGTAAATATATTTCCACATAAAAGACCGACACAATCCAACAGCAATCAACAACAATAAGAATAAGAATAGGAGTATATATAACTCATCTAACGCCTGTCAGACTACAAGTCTGAGTAAGCAAACAACCAATCATTATCATTCGCGCCCATATATATATATATATATATATATATATATATATATATATATATATATATATATATATATACGGTGGTGATAAGAAGCCAAATACAGGTTGCGTTGGAGGGATTTATTTCAAGCATTCGTTTATCAAGGCAAATACAGAATAAGAAGCGGGAAAGCGGAGCGGAGAGGGCGAGTAAGCCAACTTCGATTTTGTCAAGTATGACTCAATATTCATAACCAGACAAAAATAATTTGCAGACACGTAATGAATAGGGTAAGCAATTAATGCACATATGATCATATAAATACAGTCGAGGCTAATAAGCGAATAATTAACGAGGTGAAAGTGTGACTTGAAACAAATGAATAGATCGGTCTGTCCGGAAGCTAGAATAACTCACATACTCTTGATATAGTACTAGACACTACAACTGCAACACAAACCTGGAGACCAGCAAACGTTAATCGCTTACAATCAGTTTATCTTGGAATAGTGACCAATGTCATGTATATCATGTCATGCTTAGTACTGATCGCATTCTATCGATCAAATTGCAACTTTGTCACTAATTCGGGTTACTCGACATCGCGTGCACTATTTTGACACATAAAATGGTGATTAGAGGTAGTCTACCTAAAGCCCCTGGACCTAAGTTTCATACCATTTTGCACTCTTCATTATGGTGTACCTGTAACTTTGAAGGTAATAATACTTCCTGGCATATTCGATCCCGTGTCACTCAGCTTCACAATCGGAGATATCTCAGTCCTACAGGAAGTCGATCGCCATCCGAAAATCTCAGTAATAACATCACTGGTCATGAAGCTGCGTATTACGGTATTGGACCCACAAGGAGGCATAATCTTCCTTAATATTACAGGTACACCTTGCTGATGAGTACCAAATAGCACGAAACCTAGGTCCAGGGTTTTCCGTGGACTACCTCCAACCACCATAATAATGTCCTAAATTAACAACTGTTCAACCCCAATTTACTCAAAGTAACGTAGGCGTTTATGAAAGTGAATAGAATTAAATGGCTTATAGCTTACCTAGTACGAAAAATTAATGGTTGACTATGTTCCTAGTCAGTCAGTTAACCATAAGCAGCTTATAACCTGGTACATATGTGCTTCTGTCCAAGTTGCTGCACCAAATCACCGCGAGACCCCAGAAGAGTATAAGTAATGACAGTATCAGTTGTATTAGAAAAGGTTAAGGAATGAAGATATGACTCGAGAAAAGATAGTTTGATAGATTAGAGAAAATTTCAGGATAATTTGGAAACCTGGAATCTAAGGGAAGAAAACGAGTAAATAGACCTATGCCATCATGAATGGTTATAAACCATATCACCCGAAGGTCCTAACCATTGGTTATGAAAGTCGCACGGACCCTAACCAAGTAGCCTTCACCTACCTTCATAACTTGGACGAACAGTCAATAACTTCATGGATTGATACCGCGTTTTGTCTTGGCACACAATACATATCGCAATCACCTTGGCGTTGTGCTCTCTATCGTTTCAATATACTCCAATGCTTCGAAAGCATCTATAATAAAATGCTAGTAACCCACAAACATCCTCTAATTTGAAAGTCATTTGATAGCCATAAAGTATAGTAGAGCGAACTGTTGGGTAATACACTCGTCATTTAGTTGATAAATGGACATTTCGCCTAACCCGCAAAGTGATGCAAGATGGCAAAAGCCAAGTGAGCTTTCTGAATCTATTCCGAAATTGCATTGGACGCCAACCCACCATGTCTGATAAGACTTCCAAGATAACTGAAGTGGTTGACACACTCAACTATTTCACTCCATATCTTTAGTTTGGCGTTGACAAACATCCAGTTCTGAAGCAACATTTTTCATAAAAGGCCACTTATTTGTGTTATCCATGGGATATAAATCAATACATCTATGGTAAACTCAGCTATAAAGATTATGTTTCCCAAAAAGACACACCTATCTACCTCAAATAACTAAGTGCTATTTATTTTTTTCAATCAAATATGGATTCGCATATAGGGCTAGTGCGTCAAATTTCGTTACATATCAAGAAGTACTGACTGACAAAGTTATGAGCATAAGCTATTTAAGTTAAAAATGCTTATTATATTACCTCAACGCTTATATAAATCTAAGTCATATTAAAAATATCACAAAACTAAGCGAATACGCATATATGTTTGGTGCCCTCTTGTACCAATATTTATGTGTTCAAATAAATAAATATATCAGACGCCTAAAACTTTCATATTGTCTTTCATTTTTTGCGTATTTGTAAAATGGCGCTTTGGCATTTATAGTACTTGATTACCAAATACAGAGGTTCATGTTTCGACTATTCAATGCCTACTTTCGTTTACACGGACAGGTAGTATCAGTAGCCTGCACGTTAACCTGAGTAGAAGAATTTTCGCTCGGTAACTGACTGAGTTGGTCACACTTATTATTATTAAGTGTAGTAGTAAAACAGATATAACCAACGATATATAAATAAATGTCCCGTTTAAGTTACCGATCCTACGGTGTCTTCTTAACCTCCAGGTAATAGTCCTACTGACTTAACTTTTCTGACAATTACTGTTCTAGGAAATTCGCCAAATCCATGAGTCACTCTTGTTTCATTATTATGAGACTATTCAAATTCACATACCCTTCAGTCTAATTCATACTGTGATATAATGGATAAGAATTAGTCTCAACAACCAGGTAGGTCTTAATCAATTAGAAAGTGAGTGACCTGTTTCGCTTATTAAACTCAATACACTTTGGCTACTTGTTAGTTTTCAGTACTAATAGGTATTACTATTAGTTAGTCTGAAGACTGTTTCTAATGGGCATTGAAACCAACTGAAAACCACTGAAGACTATGAAATACCAGATATTTTTTTGGCTTGTGACTTTTGAGTACTGTGTAAATTTCATGTCATACGATTATTTATTGATAAGTTCATCTACTTTTGATTTATAACTTTCCATATTACTGTATTCCACTACTTCATTTTTATGTGTTTACCATTTCCAGTTTTTCCGGTTGTACTGTATTGGGTCGCAGCCGATGGTCAAAACTTCGTCGTGTTGTTGCTGTTTGTGGCATAATGTTAAGCACACCAATCCTGCTTCCACTCACAATTGTCATAGCACTTCCTGCTTTATCGATTGGCTTCACTGTATCCATAACCAAACCTGTAAGTTACGATGTCTATTTAGTTGGATTCAACTAATTCACTTTCGTCTTTACGTAACCTTTTCCTAACCACGATGGGAGGTGTTCACTAACTCTTTGGTTCAGTTGCCTGGTTGTGCGACCAATCAGTAACTTGCGTTTATTTGAGACTATGGTCTGATCTATGTTGAACCACCACTGTAAATCCAGAAGCACTGGACGGCGGTTTCTTCCTGTTATCGGAATCTTCAGCTGTGCGCAACCACTATCCTGCACTTGAATTTATTTAGACAAGAAACTTTTTCTCTATAGCTGAGCTGCTTTGTGAGTTGGCAAGAAGGGTAAACACAGGATGGAAGAAAGGGAAAAGCAAAACAAGGCAAACCTGAAACACTTGAAATAAATGTGTAATTGTTCACTTTCGAGTTAGCGGTGATGTTTAAGTTAGTCTATTTCTTCATGATTATTCACTGTCACTGTGAGGGCTGAGATATTACCTGGGCTTTCAAACCGAGCGATGTGGATTTATTAGGCGGCTGCTCACCGAACCTTTTATCTAGAGATCGATTCCATAACGCAGCGCGACGTTATGAGATGCGAATCCATGGTAGTCACTGAAGTCAGTCCCATGCACTATCGATTCCTCAGGATTCTGAAATCAATGCGCACCATTAGTTCGGAATTGAGGTTTTCAAACTTTCTTATGTGAATCTTCCATATCCACCAACTTGGTCGTAGTTTGAAATAGAATGTGTATAAGGTGTTGGTTGGAAATGACCGGTAGGATACCCTAGACCTAAATTTCATGATAATTGACACATATTGGCAAGGTGTACCTGATGCTCTCCGGCGAGTTCAATACAGTATCAAGCAACGCCATAGCCAGTATTGTCACCACAGGCTTTTGGATCCCAACTGAACTCCTGTAGAAATGTGTATATATCGTTTGAGCGACTAGTTTGAAATCACTATTTTTTTATTATTGTAGAACTAATCCTTTGTTAAGAAATATACTTGAACAGATTTTCTCAGAATTAATAGACAAGTTTAATACCGTATTGAAAATATAAAATTTTGAGAAATCTTACGTTTTCTTTTGTAGTTTCTCAACTAATAAGTCAGTTATATTGCTCTTCACGTGTTTTCAAAAGTCAACTGTCTGTTTCTAATTTAGTCATACCGGCAATAAAAAGTATGCATACATTCATACAGTTATTGATTCCTGGTGTTTCTGTTTTAGTAATTTCACATAATACTTGTGTTTGATTGGCGAAAATTTCTAGTTGTGATAAATTTTCGTCTCAATTGCAATCGATCTGTGGTTACCAGCACACCTTGCCGACAATTTTTACAAAACAACTTATGTTGATGAAGTTTAGCAATACCATTTCCATGAATTTTTCGTATGTTTCTGTGAATTGGAATGTTTCTTTTTCGTATCATCTATATCACATCTAATTACCATTGTTTGGCTACTTGATTAGTGCTAATATTCTCCTAACACGATCTATTGTAGCGCCGATTTTCGCTCTTTAAAATAAAAATTCATGCTAAGATTCAGTCTTCTAAATATGCTCAGCTTTACTATCACTAGACAAAGAAAAGAAGTTATTGACACATATGGTTTATATATTCGGCGAGTGTATGGCTCAATTTTTCCAGTGCTACTATTCATACCACATAAAATCACCTTTTTCTGTTACATGGTGAAAAATATACAATAAACCATGTCGTCTATATAACACTTTAATTCACGCTAAAAATATGTGATAGTGGGTGTTTTGGCATCAAACTTGATCTCATAATAATCGTCACCAACCTCATAAAGAGGTGGAAGTGACTGTGCTTTTTAAATATTCAGGAAGCTTTCCATTGTTCAGTTTTCGAATCAAAGGCAATTTTTCTTTACATGCCCTCACTTAGCCGTTATTTCACTGGTGAACTACTTGTCACCTTTGTTACTCACTTGATAGTTGATTCAGTCAGTCAGAAACAACGTGGAACTTCGTACGTACGTTTATCAGTTCGAGTTGCCATACCACATTAGCACAGAGATTCAGTTATCGATTCAAATCCCGTAGTGGCAGAGGTAATGAAAGTATAAGTAATAATCGGGGACATTAGGGTTTGATGATGTTATTTAAGGAGTATAGTTCAGTGGAATGAATTTGGAAAGAGAAAAAAGAAAAGGACATGAAGAATTCAGAAGATTAGAGTTTGGGAGAACACAAAGAGTGGATGCACCTGCGCCATTGCAAACGATTTTGAGCTGTTTCATTCAAGGTCTCTAACCATCGGTTGCTATCATCTCGCGGTTCCCAACCAGGTATTCTACACCTAGCAACATGACTCAGTCCACTTGTCAGTGACTTCATGGATTTCTGCCATGTTTTGGTCTGGCCGCCCCTAGCTTTCTTCCAACCCACTCCTACACCATAAAACATCGCACGTCGTGGCAGTCGGTGGTTGGGCATACGTAACACATGTCCCAGACATCTCAACTGATTAAGTTTCACTACTTCACCAATGGATTTGCCATCCTTACCTAGTACCCGTTTCCTAACAACTGCATTACTTACTCGGTGGTCCCAGGATATACGAGCAATGTTTCGAAGACACCTATGATCAAATACTAGTATCCTCTACTTTTACCGGCCATTTTTCACTGCCATAAAGTGGGACGGAACGAACTGCTGCGCAGTGAACACGTCCTTTGGTTGATAGACGGATATCTCGCCTACGCCACAAATGACAAATGCTAGTCGAGCCTTCTGTATCCGTGCTGAGATTTCGTCTCACACCAGACCACAAGGGCTGATGAGACTTCCAAGATAAGTGAAGCGGTCGACACGCTCAACAACTTCACTCCCTATCACTAGTTCGGGTGTCGACGCAACCCAATCCTGAAGCAACATTTTGCATTTCGAGGGAGAGAATCGCATCCCGAACATGCTTGCATTGTTGCTTAGAGTGGTCAGCAGACTCTGCATTTTATCAGCGTCTTCACCAAGTAGAACTATGTCATTGGCATATTCTAAGTCAACAAGTGAATCTCCCGGTAAAAGTTCAACTCCTGGAAATTTAGATGAGGAAAGTGTTATTTCTAAAAGGACGTCAACGGCAAAGTTGAACAAGAATGGAGAGAGTGGACAGCCATGACGAACACCACTTGAGGTAATCAGTTCTGATGAGAGTTCGCCATAAGCTCTCACTCGGCCAGTTGTGTTCGAGTAGAAGGCCATTATAAGGTTGATGTACTTCTTTGGTACTTTCTTCAGTGACAAACACTGCCGTAGAACCTCACGATCAACAGAGTCGAATGCCGCCTTAAGGTCGAGAAATACTACCATTGTGGGGCGTCTGAATGTGTGTCTATGTACTAGGACCTGACGTAGTGTGAATATCTGATCTACACAACCACGTCCAGGTCGAAAACCAGCCTGGTTTTCTCTAGTCTCTTCTTCACGAGCTTTGGTTAGACGTCGAAGTATTATTGAACCTAATATTTTAGATACTATATTAGTCAAACTAATACCTCTGTGATTGTCACAAGAAGACTTTATCCTTTCTTATAGACTGGCACAGTCAGTGATTGAGACGAGTCAGATGGGAATACGTCCAGTTCCCAGATTCTACCCAAGACCTCAGTCAATCTCGCTGCTAATACTGGACCGCCGTCCTTAAAAATCTCAGGGGTAAACCTGTCAGGGCCTGCTGCTCTCCCACGCTTCAGATTTCCTATAGCTTTTTCAACTTCGTAAAAACTCGGAGGACTTACATCAACTTGCCATTCAGGTCGACTGGAGATCGTGGGAAATCGAAGTGTGGCTGAAGGCCAGTTGAACTGATCCCTAAAGTATTCTGCCCATCGATCCAATCTCCTGGATTGAGAATGAATAATATGTCCATCTTTCTTTGCGATTGTTTCGCTAACAGTTGGGTTCCTAATACCGGTTTCCTTAACAAGTCTGAAAAGTTGCCTGCTGTTACCTATTGCCGCTGCCTTTTCCATCTGTCTTGCTTTCGCTACCCGCCACTGTTCACGATCATTGCGAAGGCTTCTAGTCAGCTTACGCTTAAGCTGACTCCGCTCTTCGTTATGTTCAGAACCAGATGGAATGAGTTTTCGAGCATCTATCAGTGCGGTACATGCTGCTGAGATCCAGTGTTACTCCCTAACCTTATGGTTTACCGTACTTGCAGACATCACTGCTGTTTCTACAGCTTTTCGGATGTCATTCCACGCTGCCTCGGGGTGGGCATCACTTACATGGCTGCCTAACTGTTTTTCTAGTTGTTCCTGAAATATACTCTTAGCTTGACTGTCATTAGGTAGGACCCTAAGAGGTTTCCTTGTACCATCTTTCCTACGTCTAGTAAGACGTAGACAAATACGCGCTCGCACCAGAGCATGATCTGAGTCTAAGCATGTGCTCCAGAATGAGCGACAGTCTTCTATCTAGCCCCCTCCATCGGTGGCTGATAGCGATGTGATCTATTTGGGTCCAGCGTTGGGACGAATTAGGGGTCGCCATGTTAAAAGATGTTTTTCCTTATCCTTAAAGTTAGTATTTGCAAGAAACAGGCTGTTATCTGAGCATAGCTACAACAGACGGTCGCCGTTATCTGTTCTTTGAACCGCGACACCATAAGATCCACCCAGGTGTCTTTCCTTTTCGCTTAGTTTACCTACTTGAGTATTAAAGTCACCAGCCACTATTACTACATCTGAACGCCTAGCTTTTCGGAGAAGATCGGAAAGCTTTCTGTAAAACTCATCTTTTACATTATCTGAACTGCAGTCAGTGGGAGAGTAGGCAGAGACGACGAAGAGGCAACGACGAGTGTCCCTATCTTTTCGAGTCCTTACTGTTCCGTTTAGTCGGACAGCGCACAAACGACTGTCTACTGGGATCCAGTCTAAGAGAGCTAGTTCTGCTCTAGGACTCAATGCTATACCTACGCCAGCGAGGCCACGGGAAGCAGCATCAGGGCTTCCAGATACACGGAGCGTAAATCGAGTTGGTTCGTTAGTTTAACATGGTGAGGTCAAATGAATGACACTACTCGGATTCTGTATGCGTATTTCGGAGACACAGCACACATCGATGGAGCGAGATTCTAAAGTCCTAGCTAAGGAATCCTGTTGTCCTATTCGTCACAGTGTAGTTTGGAGCGTGGTTTCAGGAGACCAGGAATAACGTTCCGCGTACTCGAATCGTTTGCACTAGCGGGGCGAGGTGATAAAGGGACGTGAGAAAGGTTGGTCGTGGAGATAAGAGAGTTATTAGGAGGTGTAGGAAGGATTTGAATGTGACCAACTTGATCTCGTGTGCTGTTACGGGTATGAGGGCTGATGTCACTTCCCGGCTGCCCACACCTTGGAAGTGATAGTTGATTATTTGTTAACTTTTTTCAGTCGATTGAACAGTAATTTTGTCTGATCAAGCTATACGTTAAATCTATTTCAGTGTATCTGCTGATCATTATTTCGTTTAGATATTTGATCTATAGAAATACTTTTCTTAACAAGTAACTTTTTAGCAGCGTCAAATACTTGTCATTTATATTCATGGAGTCAAATTCCGAATGTATTCACATTTATTGCTCGATAGATAAAATCAGAGGAATAAATAGTGATGTAAATATCTGGAATTCCACAGGCATTAAAACCAGATGATAAAATAAGTCCTGATGAACACGTCGTCATCTTTTCTACCGGAATTTTGTTAGATACGACAAACACTTGTAAATTTATTTAATGTTTTAGAAGTGTTTGTATAGTCTTAACGCGTATCCAACATATTAAGAAGTAAAATAGTCGCCGGATACTAAATCGTTAGTGGGTTGTGAATGTTTCAAACTTTTCCTAATAATAGCCATTACTTCTAATTATTCCACTAACATGCTGACTAATAACAGACATTATGTTAGTAAATAGTATGGTTTTCGTCACTATTTCTACCAGAGTTGGTTCAATAAAAATATTTAAATTACCAAAGTTAGCATACCATAATCTTGGATTGCATAATTATCAGCCATGCGTAAGAGGAACCTTGTAAAACTTTAGGTGATTTTATCCAGTAGTGGTTCAAAGCGAAACATCTCTATATCTCCTTTACAGACGTTTTTTATCTACTTTTATTGTTTTGTATAATAGACCTAAGAACCCTTTCTTTGAATTGTGAAGACAAACTTCAACTAGTAATTTTTATCTGCTTTTGGTAGGTTAATCGGATGTTTCTTTCGAAATCCAAACATTTAAGACGGTTTGTTCTATTCTGGGTTGTAACCGCTGGTCTCATTGTGTTCCCAGTACTAACAGGTAAGTGCCACATCTTTGCCTTTAAGTTTTCTTCACTTAATCTTTGTTTAAATGAAACAACCCTCCCTTTCTAGTCACTTTAAGATAACAGGTCTGCAGAGTATCTTTTTCTGGTCTACGATTTGCAGAAGAATATCAAACTTTTTGTGTTCAGTCTTAAAATTACAGGAGTACTTATGGTTTGCGACATCAGATCGCGCGTTACAAAATATATCATACCACTGTAGTTACGTTCACTTTGATTTTGTTTTTTGTCTGTTCATGTTTGCAATCTAATTTGTCTTATAAATTTATGTCCGTTGCTGATCATATGTCATACATTTTACCTTGAGACAGTTTGAAGTGGTGCACTGCTGTAGGATAGGTTATCTATCACTTCAATCATTCAATGAATTACATCACACACAAAAATAAAATTTCATAATATTTGTAATGCAAACTAAGAGTTGACACGGTATCAAACTCAGAGACTATTTACATAGTTTTCAGGTATTTTAATTTCATTCTGTTTGCTAATCACATTAGTCTAGTTTTGTAAAGACAATCGAAATGCCCAAACCAAAGCAAAATGACCGTTCATTTCTCCATGCCTTTAATTTATACATCAGTTTGCGATGAGAATTACTTCCGATATATAATTTAAGAGATAAATCGTTACTGACTTTCATTTTTAAAACATCAATAAATCATGTTTGCTAAAAACCATTCCAGAAAGCATTCAATGTAAACGAATAACATTGAGGGTTTCTTAATTTCTACAAAGTGTATAATCAAAGAATGGATGTTAAACTAATAAAACAAGTCTGTTATATTGATTGTATGGTCCCACATTTTAATACTTACTTACTTACGCCTGTTACTCCTCGCGAATGAGCATAGGCCGCTCACCAGCATTCTCCATCCAACCCTGTCCTGGGCAATCCTTTCCAGTTTTTATTCATCCTTTTCATATCTGATTCTATTTCCCGACGTAATGTGTTCTTTGGCCTTCCACTTTTCCGCTTCCCTTCAGGATTCCAAGTTAGGGCTTGCCACGTAATGCAGTTTGATGATTTCCTCAATGTATGTCCTATCCATTTCCATCGTCTTTTCCTGATTTCCTTTTCAGCTGGAAGTTGGTTTGTTGTCTCCCACAGAAGGCTGTTGCTGATAGTATCCGGCCAATGGATGTTGAGTATCATGCGTAGACAGCTATTTATAAATACTTGTACCTTCTTGATGGTGGTTGTTGTAGTTCTCCAAGTTTTAGCTCCGTACAATAGAACTGCCTTGACGTTCGTATTGAAGATTCTGACTTTGATATTGGTTGAAAGTTGTTTTGAGTTCCATATGTTCTTCAGTTGAAGGAATGCCGCTCTAGCTTTGCCAATCCTCGCCTTGACGTCTGCATCTGAACCTCCTTGTTTATCGACGATGCTTCCCAGGTATGTGAAGGATTCTACATCTTCCAGAGTTTCGCCATCAAGAGTGATTGGATTGCTGTTCTCCGTGTTGTGTTTGAGGACCTTGGTTTTCCCTTTGTGTATGTTGAGGCCTACTGATGCAGAGACTGCTGCTACTCTGGCTGTCTTTATCTGCATTTGTTCGTATGTATGCAATAGGAGGGCTAGGTCATCTGCGAAGTCCAAGTCGTCTAATTGGTTCTGAGTTGTCCATTGTATTCCGTGTTTTCCCTCAGATGTCGACGTCTTCATAATCCAGTCGACCACCAAAAGAAAGAGGAAGGGAGAGAGTAGACAGCATTGTCTTACTCCGGTCCTTACTTGGAATGCATTTGTCAGCTGTCCTCCATGCACTACTTTGCACTGCAGTCCGTCGTATGAGTTCCGGATAATATTGACAATCTTAGGAACTCCGTAGTGTCGAAGAATTTTCCATAACGTTCTATATACACTGTCAAATGCCTTCTCATAATCAATGAAGTTGATATATAGTGACAAATTCCACTCAGTTGATTGTTCGAAGATGATCCGTAGTGTCGCAATTTGGTCTGTGCACGACCGGTCCTTACGAAATTCAGCTTGTTGATCTCGAAGTTGGGCATCTACTGCATCTTTCATCCGGTTCAGCAACACTCTGTTAAGGACTTTCCCTGGTATTGACAGTAGTGTAATACCTATGTAGCTTTCACACTTACTCAGATCTCCTTTCTTTGGAATCTTGATGAGGTGTCCATTTTTCCAATCCATCGGCACTTGTTCCTCCTCCCAAATCTTCTTGAATAGAAGGTGAAGCATGTTTGTAGTAACTTCGGTGTCTGACTTTAGTGCTTCAGCTGGTATATTGTCGGATCCTGCTGCTTTCCCGCTCTTGATTTGTCTGACGGCCATTCTGATTTCTTCGGTCGTTGGTGGATTGACATCTATAGGAAGATCTGTGTGTGCTGCTTCGATGTCCAGTGGATTCATTGAAGCCGGCCTATTCAGGAGTTCCTCGAAGTACTCTACCCATCTGTTCCGCTATTGTTGAATTTCAGTGACTGGCCTACCTTCTTTGTTTTTGACTGGTCTCTCTGGTTTACTATATTTCCCTGTTAGTTTCTTCGTTGTATCGTAAAGCTGTTTCATATTTCCTTCTCTTGCAGCTTTCTCTGCCGTCGTTGCTAGTTCTTCCACGTATTTTTGCTTGTCGGCTCTAATGCTCTTCTTCACTTGCTTGTTTGCTTCTATGTACTCAGCTTGTGCTTGGACTTTCTCTGCTCTTGTTCGACTGTTGTTAATTGCTGTCTTCTTGTTCTTCCTTTCTTTGATATTGCCAGTGTTTCTATAGAAATCCATTCCTTGTGATGATGTTTCTTGGGGCCCAGAACCTCTTGACACGTTGAAGTTAATACTTCTTTTATACCTTTCCAGTTGTTCTCCGTAGTAGTTTCTTTTTCCTTCAGTAGATCCTGTAAGGCTTGGAACCTGTTGTTGAGAGCTATCTTGAATTCATTGAGTTTGTTAGTATCTCGAAGGAAGGCTGTATTGAACCTTTGTGGTGCTGTTTGTCCAGTTGTCCAGTTCTTCTTTAGCTTCAGTTTCAGTTTGGCCACAACCAGGTGATGATCTGAAGCTATGTCCGCTCCTCTCCTGGTTTTCACATCTTCCATTGTCTTTCGGAACTTTTTATTGATGCAATTATGATCTATCTGATTCTCTGTGGTGTGGTCCGGTGAGATCCATGTAGCTTTGTGTATACGTTTGTGTGAAAATATTGTGCCGCCTATGACCAATTTATTGAATGCACACAGATTTACAAATCTTTCCCCGTTTTCATTCCTCTCTCTCATTCCATGCAGTCCCATAATATCTTCATATCCGGTGTTGTCTATTCCGATTTTGGCGTTTAGATCTCCCATCAGAATGGTGAGATCCTTTCTTGGGCACTTCTCTATGATTGATTGCAGCCTCTCATAGAATTGATCTTTAATGTCGTCGTTGCTATCATTTGTGGGTGAATAACGTTGGATAATATTAATTGTGATCCCCTCCTTCTTTGTTTTGAATGATGCTTTGATGATTCTGGATCCGTGAGATTCCCATCCTACAAGTGCATTTCGTGCTACTTTGGATAGCATTAGAGCAACTCCCTGAGTGTGTTGGGCATTTTCCTCTTCGTGAGCGGAGTACAGCATCATCTCTCTTGTATTTAGCCTTTGTTGTCCAGCTTCAGTCCAATGGGTTTCGCTGATTCCTTTGCTATTTGACTGGTCTTCTCGGTCTCCCACATTGTCCGGACGTTCCATGTACCTATGAAAATGGTTACTCTAGTTGTTAGAAGGGGCATCGGCCTCGTGGTTTCCGAAGGAACTAGGCTTCCACCATGAGGCGTCATATTTCTTTTAAATGAAGACCTAACTCTCAGGGCGAAGTTCAAATTGTTTGAATAATTTTTTCTGGTTAGCGTTTTTTTAGCGAGTTAGTTTTCTACGGGATGGGGTCGCTAACCCCAAGCCCAACTCTCCTCCTTTACCCGGGCTTGGGACCGGCAGTAATTCTGGAAGAGCTACAGGCGATTGAAGATCGAAATACCAAAGTTGGAATGGACAACAACGGTTATGAAGATATCATGGGACGGGATGGACTAGAAGAAAGGAACGAGAATGGGGAGATATTTTCAAATCTATGTGCATTCAACAAAACGGTTATAGGCGACATAGTATTCTCATACAAACGCATGCACAAAGCTACGTGGGTCTCACCGGATCACAATTCAGAGAATCAGAACGATCATATTTGCATCACTAAAAAATTCGGAAGGCAAGTGGAAGACGTATGAACCAGCAGAGGTGCTGAAATAGCTTCACATCATCACCAACTGGTGGTTGTCAAGATCAGACTGAAGCTAAAGAAGAACTGGACAACTGGACAAACAGCATTACAAAGGTTCAATATAGCCTTCCTTCGAGATACTGACAAACTCAATGAATTCAAGATACCTCTGAGCAACAGATTCCAAGCCTTACAGGATCCTACTCACAGAAGCAGAGACTACTATGGAGGACAACTGGAAAGGGATTGGAAGCACTAACTTCGACATATCAGGAGGCTCTGGGCCGCAACATGCATCATCATAAAGAATGGATCTCTATCGAAACCCTCGGCAAAATCAAGAAGTCAGCAATTAACAACACCTGAACAATAACAGAAAAAGTCAGGTCACAAGCTGAATACATAAAACAAACAAGGTAGTGAAGAGAAGCATTATAGTCTTCAAGTAGAAATACGGGGAAAACCTAGCAGCGACAGCTGAAAAAGGTTTCAATATAAGGAAATATGAAACAGCTATATGACACAATGAAGAAGCTGGGAAATGTATTAAACCAGAGAGACCGGTCAAAGACAAAGAAGTTAAATTGATCACTGAGATTCAAGAACGAAGGAACAGGTAGGCGAAGCATCTGAGGAATTCTTGAGTAGACCAGTCCCATTGAACCAATCAGACATCGCGAAGCAACACACACAGAACTTCCTATCGATGTCACTCCACCAACAATAGAAGAAATCAGAATGGTCATCAGACATCAATCATGAGAAGGCAGTGGGACCTGACAACATACCAGCTGAATCACTGAAGTGAGACATAGAATTAACTGCAAAAATGCTCCACAATCACTTTAGAAAGAGTTGGTAGAAAGAACAAGTTCCTACAGACTGGAAAGAATGACATCTCATCCAGATACCAAAGAAAGGGAATCTGAGTAAATGCGAGAACTACATAGCCATAACACTACCATCAGTACCGGCAAAAGTACTCAACAGAGTGTTTTTGAACTGAAGGGAAGATTCAGTAGACGCCCAACTTCGAGATAAACAGGCATCAATTGTGTACCGGTAAATCGCAACCCTGCTTTGGTTTGGGCACCCGGGCAGTATCACAGCCCTCACACAAATCAATTGAGATTCGTGTGGCGCATATGTACTTGGTGCCTCCCTGTACCTATACTTATGTGTTAAAATAAAAATAAATCGCGACACTGCGGATCATCGTTGAACAATCTATTGAATGGAGCTCGCCACTATACATCAACTTCCTTGATTGTAAGAAAGCATTTGAGTGTGGATAAGAGAACACTATGGAGTACCTGAGAAAATCGTCAACATCATACGGAATTCATACGACGGACTACACTGCAAAGCCGTGCATGGAGGACAACCTTCAGACGCATTCCAAGAAACGACCCAAGTCAGACAAGGCTGCTTACTCCCCCTTTCTCTTCTGGTGGTTGACTGAAGTGTGAAATGGTGTCGTGGTATGAAAGAAAGCTGCACAGGATTGGCTTCTGTTGGTCCTTCACGACTCCGTGGTTGGGGTCCTAGAAATGGTGCAACACTGTGGCTAGAGACGTTATCACATATGGCTCAGAATAGAAACCAGTGGCGATTCTGTTGTAACTTTCCTTTAGTTCATAAAAAATAAACGTAACTTCTTTGATTGAAAGAATTATTTTTGGTTATATTTTTGCTAACTCAACTGTTCCTCCTATTATTGTTTCACTCCCACCCACTAATTTCCGTTCGTTCTTGTTTCTCTTTTACTATAAGCACTTTGCATTCTTTGTCTCTTACAACCTCATTGTTATTGTGTGGCGCATATATATTTCGTGCCCCCTTAAATCAATGTATGTGTCCAAATAAATAAATGACTAGGTTATGAAGACCTCCACATCTAAGGAGAGGCACGGAACACAATGGACATGTTGGATGCGTCTAGATGATTTGGACTTCGCAGATGACCTAGCCCCTCGATCCTATACACACCAACAAATGCAAGTCAAGACGATCAGTGTAGCAGAAGCCTCTGCATCAGTAGGCCTCAATATACACAAGGGAAAAAGCAATATTCTCAAATGCAACACGGAAAACACCAACCCAGTCACACTTGATGAAGAAAGTCAGGAAGAGGTGGTAGCATTCACGTACCTGGGAAGCATCATCGATGAACAAGGAAGACCTAAAGCGGATATGAAAGCAAGGATCGTCTTTTTACGGTTCAAGAATATATGGAACTCAAAACAACTGTATGCAAGCCAATATCAAAGTCAGAACCTTCTATACGAACGTCAAGACAGTTCTACTGTGCAGAATTGAAACTTGGAGAACTACCACAACCATCATCAAAATAGTACAACTATTTATAAACAATTATCAATATGCGTTGGCAGAATACCATCAGAAACAGCCTACTGTGGGAGAGAACAAATCAGCTTCTAGCTGAACAGGAAATTAGGAAAAGATGTTGGAAGTGGATAGGACATGCCTTGCGGAAATCATCAAACTGCATTACGTGGCAAGCCCTAACTTGGCACCCTGAAGGAAGGCCGAAGAACACACTACGTCGGGAATTGGAAATAGATATGAAAAGGATGAATAGCAACTGGAGACAACTGTGAAAGATTGTCCAGGACGGGGTTCTATGGAGAATGCTGGTGAGCGGCCTATGCTCCTCCACTAGGGGTAATAGGCGTATGTAAGTAATTCTAGGGTCATATAGGATTTCAGAATCGGCTTTCAATAACATTTCTCGAGCTTGTTCCATTATCTTGTCTGGCAGGAGTGAACTAGCAAGTTTAAATTTAATGGCTAAATATGTGACAAGATTAGCAAAGAAATGCATTTCTAACCTGACAAACTATAGGATTGGATCAGTTGAAACATTATTTATTTTAACACATAGATATTGGTACAAGGAGGCACCAAATACATACGCGCCACACAGATCTCATTGGATATGTGTGAGGGCTGTGATACTGCCCGGGTGCCCAAACCGAAGCAGGTGGTTTTCTTAGAGGGCCACACCCCGAGCCTTCGACCTGAAGATCTGAGCCACAAGGCAGTGGAGCATCGTAAGGAGATGCAGTCCCATAGTAGCCGGTGACCAATGATTGGTTCATACGCCATTTGTTCCTTCAGGATACTGGAACCCATGTGCACCATTGGTTTGAGATCCGGTTAAAGCACCGGACATTCGCTTTTCGTCCTCTCAATTTCGTAAACAACAGTAATGCCATGAGGAGGCAGTGAGTAGGACTTCCCTGGCGGCGGCTATATACGCGTGGCCGTGTGAGAGGATTTCGAGAGGGAGAGCGAACTCTCCCCACTCTCGGCCGTACCAGGGCATTTGGGGACGATTGATCACAATACCAAGGTCCAAGTACCAGAATTCCTATTGTCACCGTTCTACCCAAGAGTATACGACGTTTATAGTGCGACTCAGTAGTCTTCTCGACCAGAAATAGTGAACCATTTTATTTCTTCAATGTCTTATGTTTAGTTCTTGATAAAAAGTATATATATATATATATATATATATATATATATATATATATATATATATATAGGTTTTTGTAAATCTTTTCGATCTTGTATCCAATACCTAATTGGCCGCAATGTTTACCATTTTATTTACATTTCAGCCGTAACTTTTGGCCTTTTAATCCCCGTTATTTTGGGTTATGTGTATTTATACCTTCCAATTAGTTTGTTTCGATCCCTGATAAGAGATGAAAGTGATATTCTTCTAAAACCGACCGAACTAGAAAAACTACAACCAGTAAGCCCTAATTTTGAAAACGAGTTCAAAGCAAAGAATGAGGATATCAGATCAAATGATGGAAGCTTTAGTGAATCTAAAGTTGTCTTAGTAGATGAAACAGAGCCGATGGAACGTGATCAAACATTATGAGTGTTTTGTGAGAACAGCTTATTATTCTTAGTCTTTCATTTCTTACCTTTTATTCAAGCAGAATGACTTTCTCGTGTCAATTTAAATAAGTAAAAATACAAACTAATGCCACTTTTTATAATTCAAAGCCAAGGCTGTGATTCGTCGATTCTAAATGAGTTCCTTCCTATTTTATCTGATTATTATATTCAAATCTGCTGTTTGTATGCTCCAATAATTTATTTTTTTGGTAAAAAGAACATATACGTTGTTTTGAGTACTTTCATGTTGTGTTTACTTAAATTCAGAATATTAAGGTGTTGGGAAGAATATCGTGTGAACGTTCGGCAATTGCTAGACACATTCATTGATTAGTTATAGTAACCTTTATGCTACTTCAGGGAATGGATCTGTGTTATGCTGCAGGATATTATAATATCTATGCCCAAGCTCCCAATTTGGAGGAAATCCCCAACGTTTGGGGAACTTCCCCAATCATGGTTTAATAACCGTTATAACCAACTTTCTCTGATTATAGAATAATCAACATTTCGTAGATAACAGTACATTTTACAATTTATGTATTTCTAATTCATAGAAAATATGTTCAAACGCCGATGAATTACCTAGCTCCTTGAAATTATCAGCTACAAATAACAGTTAATGTACAAACACAAACCAGGAAGTTCACAACAGTTAATGATTACATAATTTCAGGTCTTAATTCGGTCACCAGCATGTTTGCAACCTCACAGCACTGCTCATTTAATGTTTCCAACATATACGAACAATGCTTTGAAGATAACTATGATCAAACATACTGATGAACTATGAATATCCGCTACTCTTAAAGCTAAGTATCACAGCCGTAAAGAAAAACGAAAGACTTCTACGTAGGAGAATTCTCCCTTTGGTTAGCAGATGGACGTCTCATATATGCAACTAGTGACAAGTTTACAAGAACCAAGCAAACTTTCTGAATCCGTGGCGAGGTTTTGTCAGATACCAATCGAATAAGGCTGATAAGTGAGTGAGGTCGCTGACGTGCCCAACGATTTCACTCCTTACTATCAGTTTAGGCGTTGACACAAACCAGCCATGAACAAGTATCTCAGATTCATTGAGGAGACGCGCCTAAAACACATTGTTAAGGTTTCCAAAAAGATCTGGATTTTATCAGTCACTAGTCTTGGGTGTTGTTGAACGTATAAGGGTGGTTATCACTCCATCATCAGGTAAAATTCCGCATACGAAAACTAGAGATGTACGTGAGAAAACTTGGAAGGTTGCAATCAACTCCAGAGATTATGCTTTAAGTTTAAACGCTCCTAATAAAGCTGCACAAACTAATACAATAGACGATGGATTAAGGACAGTCGATATAGGACCAGCTACCTCAGGTATTTTAGAGAATAATAATCAGAGCTCGCTACATAAATTTGAACTTAATTTGACAAATAGATATGACAGATTATCACTGAGCATCTTTTAGATTGTCAACTTGTTCAAGATTGAGAGGTGACAGAATTATATATAGACACATATGGGTATGAATCTAACAATGCCACTAGTTATAAACAATTTGCACCGAGCACCAAAGAGATGGAGAATATTTTAGTTACTACTAGTGAAAACACGGAGTTATATAGGCTGACCATTGTATTTATTAGTGCCTTTTACAGAGAAACTGGTACATCGCCACTCATGTACTTCATGCCTTCGAAACGGACGCTTGCGATTTGGCTTGCTGTTTTGCTCGCAATGCTTCAGCGTCTCTAGAGCATACAATATAATTAAATAACATCCTTACCTCAAACGTCTTTCTTCTAAAGTTAATCCCTTATTCCCATCCTTTTGACTGCTAGTTTTAGACTTTCGCTGTTCACTTTGTTTTTTCAAATTTTTTTCCCTAGCTAAATCCCTTTGGTTTCCGCCTACACAAAATTGAAAAATTAGTAACAAGTCGACCCACGAGTCATATGGACGACGAATACGATCCAATTGAAGTGAATTCAAATTCGCAACGACCTTGACCAACTCGAAAAAGATTCAGATTTATGTAGTAAGGCTTATGTTATTCATCTTTTGGTATGCTTCTGTGAGTGTCTAGTCTTCACTTGAATGAGTCAATCGAATATGCGGACACCACTGCTTCGGGTAACAGGTTCTTAGAATTGACTACTCGATGTTAAAACCTATATACCAAGGGTATTTTGTTCATTCTTGGTTTTTCTACTCGCCTGCTATGTCCTCTTAGGTTTTCCGTTTTGTTGAGGAGAAATACAGAGAATATATTGAGTCGAAAATCATTTCTTAGTACTCTATACATCAAAATCAGATCATCTCCTAATCTGATATAGAACAGAGTATATCTAGAGCTTAGTCTCTTATACCGCGTACACCTAAAGCACTCAAACGCCAGAACCCTCCAAGTTGCAAATAGGAAGACAAAGGACAAGTGAGGGAAACTATATTCCAAACAATGTCATTTATGGTACATAACTATCAGGTAATTATCGATTTTAGTAAAGACGAAATCATCATTATTGCCCTTGTAGCGGTAAATAATTCCCCAAAATCAAATAGCTCTGTAAGTTTTCGACATTGGATGCTGACCACAGTTTTAGTGGACGCATCTAGCTGAAGGCGCTCGGTCAAGCATCCGCACCAGATCACGCGTGGGAACGCCGTGCTCAACATCTGCCGCAATCGCTAGCCAGATTAGTGCAAACGATCCTCGATATATTGATAGCTTATCAAATATATCTTCGATCTCCTCGCTTCTGTCTTTTGATTTTACTTGGTGGGTGCGCTTCGTATTAGAAGGTGTTACTGGTTAAAGCGTTGCCAAACTCCGAATACCTGTGGCATCTTCACTCTCCAATCTGCATGCAGGTAGTTATAAACACTTGTCCAATAGGGAAGCTACAAATAAGGATTCTGTAACAATCTTACAAAAGATGATTGGATGGAACATCTTCTGCGCTTGAAGCTTCCTCGGGTTCACTCGTGGACTGTTCTCACATCTTTGTATGGCAAACCCCGGAGTTCTGGAATCGCGCAGGTAGCTGCCCTGTGCGCTTTCCGAGATATCACCTTTTAAACAGGGGCTTGCGGCCTGAACGCAGTTCTCAAGCTTAGTTCTCACTAAGGTTTTGTATACTGTAGTGAACATGGTAGTATCTAACTTAGTAACTGTCCGTTTTAAAGCCCAGAGGGTTCTAAACCCTTTAGATATGACCTCCTGACAATTGGGCGTGATATTAGGATTATGACTCACTATCACTCCAGGATTTTTATGAGACCGGAACACGGGTAGAGGACTTCCTCCATGCTGCACCTATTTACTTTTGTATCCTCAAAGTGCATGTGGACATACTTTACTGCGTTGATATGCAGTGGCCACTCTTTAGACCAGTTAATCGCAATATTTAAGTTTACCTGAAGTGCGCATGCGCCTGCGTCTCCCGTTCTTTCTCGCCAGATTTTTACGTCGTCAGTTTATAGTAACATTGTGGACTCAACTATTTTTGGGCGATCATTTACACAGAGTATAAAATGTAAAGGGCTTTGGACAAAACCTTGAGGTACTCCGCTCAGTACTGGTCTCCAGGTGGGGCCCTTTGAATTTACTCCTACTTTCTCTCTACGACCTACTAGGAAATTTTTAAGCCATTTTAGTAGAGCTCCACTGATGCCAACATTCTCTAGCTTCAAAAGTAGTCTATTTGTTGGTACCTTGTCGGATGCTTTGCTGAAGTCTATGTAGAAAACATCCACTAATTTTCCGTTGTCTATAGCCTTTATTCATTGCTCCTTTGCTATAAGGAGCTTCGTTGTGCAATGTAAAACTATGCCTATGCAAAGTAGAGAAGTGAATGAATAATTGAGCTTTAATATACTGACATTACTAAGATGTTTGAACCGACTCTTGACCAATCAACCTAAGTTATTACGACACTTCTTTCCGCTTCCCTACCTATAATGCTACTTTCATTGATCCCAGAATATAGGTGTATTCTTATTTATCTTCTGGTCATTTTTATTCAATGATCGGTTTTGTAGCTTCGTTGGGGTTTTGAATACTGTGTCACTTTTTTCCTTTAACATGTCGATTTCTGGTGCCCAACAAATTAGATGCCTGTGTTCTTGTTTGACCCTTCCTAATCTGGCTGACTAAACCTACCACTGAAGGAGGAAAACCTTGAGTGAATGTTCATGTAACAGACTATTATTTGAGAATAAATTATTATTATTACTTGTTAGAAGTCTGTTGTTTTGGACATTTAACTACTAAGTTTAAAGTTATTCGGTATATGATAATTTTGTTTTTCTTGAACCATAAAATTATTTCTAGGTTGTCTGGATCCTGTTTGTCTACTGTCAGCTAATTAATTTGCATTATCAATGTTTCATTTGCCTATTGTCCTGTGGTAGACCTTGCACGTTTGTTGTCATAGCAGTGACGGTACCTACTGGAGAAAGCATCGTCCAGATTTACTCTAATTAATTTGTACTAATAGTTATCTGTTGGTAACGCGTGCCTAAATCACCTCTTACGGATTTATACGTCACCATCTATGCCTATTGTGCATTATTGACTCTGATACATTTAAGTCAAACGTGTATCACTGAGCCTTCTACCTAGGTCTTTTGTCAAAATTTAAAATTTTTATCTGTTCTTAAATAACGATACGTTCCACAATGCACGGCAGTTTATAGGCAAGATCAAAATTGTATAAATTTTACAGGGTTGACTGTAATAAGTTAAGCTAATATTTTAAAAGACACGTTAGCCATGAAAACAAGGGATGAACTTCAGTGCATAAGAATATGAATGGTGTTGATAAAACTGGAATATACGACGTGCTGTAACAATATAATTCGAATAAAGCCAAGAGCTGCTCACAGAAAGCAATAAATTGGTACATGCATAAATTTATTTTTTGAGACGCCGATTTCAACGTATCGCTCTGTGACTCTCGTCATCACTTTCCAGACGACTGAAAAATAGACAGTTTGGAGAAGAAAGAATTTTCCTAAGTTACGAGATATTAAAATTCGTTTGCATTTATAATTTCAGAAGCTTAGATTCAAATTTTTATTCAACGAATGAAGAGATATTCAGATTTGTAACGCATCTTTCTTACGTAAACTTTCACTATTTCCAGTTCTTATTGGTGTTTTCTCTGTGAGGAGAATGTATTAATCTTTAGACCCATCCCAAAATTACTGCCTTAGAGGACTTTGGGGGTTCATATTGCTAAGGTTATTTGACTCGTAAG